ATGGGGCATTGGCGATTTGATTTTGTCCACTTTCATCACCGACACCACCCAAAATATGTTGTGTTGACTCATCGACTGTTAGCAGGTATTAATATATACTAGTAATCCAAATTTTATTAGATTTTATATTTTAGACATGCAAGAGAAATTAAATATTGTTTATTAATTTATCAAATCATAGCTTTCAACAATTTACATGCATTTATTTAAGTTAATAAAGGCATAGAGGGGTGATTGCCTGAAAGAATAAAGCTCGACTGCATCTGGAACAGAACCGAAAATCTCGCTGGGGGTCGTAGAAGAAACATGAAAGCAGATGTTGTCAATGAGTTTCTCAATAAAGAATTTAAAAGTGAACATTTAGATATATTGATATATCGAGGACGTATTTTTAAATAAAAAATGGTATAATTCCCATTCTTACGTCAATACGATATATCCTGGTGAGCTTGAGATAAAAGATACCACAGAGTCGGACACATCTGGCTCCGGGACCATAAAACTTAGCCAGCTCACTTTTGATCTCAGTCTCACTTTTCTTCTATTAGTTCCTAAGAAAAAAGTTAGACTGAGATCAAAAGTGAGCTCTTCTAAGTTATGTGGCCCCTAGGCCTGTTTTATATTTCAAATTGGATATTTTACTTGAAAAAGTCTGTTAATTGTAATCTAACAACCAAGCTCTATGATAAACGTGATGAATTTAACTTTACAATCGTCAAATTCCCTTACTCATGCAGCAATATACCTTCATCACCTGCATACGGAGTTTATATACCTCAGTTGATTCGATATGCAAGAGCATGCTCTACGTATGAATAAATTCTAAATCGAGGTTAGTTATTGACAAACAAGTTGTTGAAATACGAATATCAGCAGTCTCGTTTGAAGTTATCATTTTGTAGGTGCTATGGTCGATACAATGACCTTGTCAGCAAATACAATTTATCTTTGAGTCAAATAATGACTGATCTTTTTCACACTAATTGTTAGTCCATTATTTATACACTGGATTGTCCTGGTTAGTCCATTATTTATACACTGGATTGACGACAGATTTTCCCATTATTTCCCAATCATGACAAGGAGCACACAACGGATGTGACCGGTCGGCATGGTATTCTCACTCCTCCATGGCACCTGATCCAAACTCTGTTTTGGAGGTCCGTGTTTTCTCTGGTCCTATTTGTATTGTTTTATGGACTTTTGACCTTGAATACTGTTCGTTACCTCCATATGTTTCATTCTCTGCTTTTGAGGCCGTATTCACCGGAGCAGCAGCAATGGGACGTCATAATCAACACCCAAAACTACAGCTAGTATCTTGAGTAGGAACCAGAAGTCTCTGTCGAGACTGTAGCTCTACGGATTTTTACTTATAACAAAGGAAGAGAAAAGTTGCAGTTGGGACTTGAATCTTTACAACAGCAATATAAAATAGAATAATTATCCTTGATAAAGTCTTTGGTGGCAATATTGCAATATACAGCTGTAGGAGTAACTTTTAATACAATTTTTAAAGATTTTCAATTATAGTTACCATGGCAACACCGTTCATCGAAATAAATTTTCAAAAAAAAATAAAGTGTAAATCTTAGTGTAGTCTATCGGCATGAAACGTTATATCATAATCAAACTAAAATATATTTGTGATGGCATTTTTTAAGTCATTTCACAGAAATTTCTATTTTAAGTAGCCACGGTAACACCGTTCATTGATATCAAAATCCGATGCACTGAATTATGTATCTTAGTATAGTCTACTTGTGTGTCAAATTTTATTAAAAATCCGACCAAAACTGTAGGAGGACTAGCATTTTGAAAGCATTTCACAGAAAATTCTATTATTAGTAACCACGACAACACCGTTTATCAAAATCAAAAACCGATGCACAGAATTACATGTATGTTATATCTTAGAATAATCTACTTGTGTGTCAAGTTACATTGAAATCCGACCAAAACTGTAGGAGAAGTCGCATTTTGAAAGCATTTCACAGAAATTTCTATTTTTAGTAACCACGGCAATACCATTCATCGAAATCAAAAACCGATGCACAGAAATATGTATCATAGGATAGTCTACTTGTGAGTCAAGATATATTGAAATCCGACCAAAACTATAGGAGTAGCATTTTGAAATCATTTCAAAGAAAATTCTATTTTTAGTAACCATGGCAACACCGTTCATCAAAATCAAAAACCGATGCACAGAATTATGTGTCATCGTAAAGTCTACTTGTGTGCCAAGTAATATTGAAATCGGAATAAAACTGAAGGAGGAGTAGCATTTTGAAAAATTGTTTACAGACAGACGGAAGGAGGACGGACGCATTACTATCGCATAAGCTCTTCTGGTCTCTGACCAGTAGCTTAAAACTTTCGCAAACCTATCGCAGTATCCAAGCTCAAAAGTCCATTTAACAAGACACAAGTAGGAGCAGTGCACACATTAGTCCGAAATATCTGACGTTCCCTGCCTTTTTACGATTTTGATAGTTTACATGTACGTGCCATAAAATATCAAATCGTAAAAAAGAGGGAAACGAGATATTTCGGACTAAGCTAACACAGACCTTCAAAAAATCAGAGGCGGAATCAGTTGCCATGGAAGAATGAATATCCCCTGCCGATCGGCCACATCCGTCCGTGTTTGCTCTGCTCCTATTTGTATTGTTTTATGGACTATTGATCTTGCACATGTTTCATTTAAATAAAAAAAAATGAAAAGCAAAAAAGGTTTGAATATTTGATTTTCACGTTGATGAAAATATTGAATCAACCTGTTTAATTGAGACAAGTATAGCGTTTGTCTAATGTACAAATATATATAAACCCCAAAAAGCCACTGGAAATAATTTGTCAGCTAAACAAGTCACATTGGCGGATCCAGAGAGAGGGGGGGGGGGGTTCCGGGGGTTGGAATCCCCCCCCCTTTATTTTTTGCCAAGTGGAGAGAAAGAGGGAGATAAAACGTTGCTAGTATTTGAGAAGAAATATTTGCACATCCAACTTATGTATTGAATAGATAGATTCCCACACATTCACTTTTCTCCATTGACCTTCATTATTACCTTTTATCAGCGAATGGTACAAAATATTCTACTTATTTTTATACATGTATATCTTATATATGATATGTAACAATATGGAACGCCATCACTGCCTTATAGCGTACAACTATGCAATTATTATGTCAATCTATCATAACGTGATGTGAACATATCTTTACGTTATGTCAATTTTTTATGAGATGATGTAAAAATATCTTAACATCATGCCAGTGCTGCATTACATGAAGTAAATACATCCTTTCATTATGTCAGCACTTCATAACTTGAAGTAAAAAATTAATTATGTGAAGTGATAATGTGTTTACATTGAGATAAAACTTTATTACGTGAAATGAATGTTTCTTTACATCATTTCGTTTCTTTAATATGTGAGGTCAAACTTGCATTACGTCAAGTAAATTGTGTTTTATAATTAAACTTATCATTACATGAAGTCAAAAATCCATTCCTTTTTGAGAGTGTATATTTCTATTATATCAAAGCATTACATGTATTACGTGATATGGATTTATCTTTATTTTACGGCGAGAGTATCATGATGTGAGGTGAACACATCTTACCTTCATGTCAGTGCTTTATTACGTGGTGTAAAAAGTGTATAACATAATGTGTACATATCTTTATATTATATCAACACTTTATTACATTATGTCAAAACTCCATACCGTGATGTGGATATATTTAATGTCAACTCTTTATGTGATCTAAAAATAGCTTTATATTGTGTTAACTCTTTATCATGTTGATTCCAAAAGTGCATTACCTGATGTAAAAATACGTTTACATTATCTCAAAGCTGTATATCTAGTATGTACAATGAATGTTGACGACCGTGTTTTAAAGACTGTTAAGAAGGGGGGGGGGGGTCCTGATTGATTAGGAAGTATAACAGCCCCCCCCCCCCTTTTCCCAGACATAACTTTACTATAGGAAAATAATGTTCATTGAAAGTACACCCCTACCCCCACTTTTTGTTGAAGTATAGTCCAATGAAGGCAATGTAGTATATCTGAAAAAAAAATTAGGACTGATCGAAGTTTGAACCCCCCCAACCCCCCCCCCCTTCTCCGAAATAGGATTTTCGGGCTTGGACAATTTTTTTGGGCTTGTCAAGTTTTTTTCGGGCAAATTAATATTTTTTTTCTGGCTGATCTCCCCTTTCAAAAAAGATGCTACGTCACTGGAATTAGAAATTTTTTCAATCATTCTAGGGCCAGAATTCTATGACAAAAATCTACCAGTCCCCCATCTTAATCAATTGAATATGCCTTAGTAAGCATGCATGCGCACATATCTGTGGCGGCTATGGGAATCTTGAACAAGGAAGGGGGACGGCATATGGTTGACATAGGCGGCGGAACCGGGGGGCTGAGGGGGGGGGGCTTAGTTTTTTTTTTCCTCAGATAGACTTAGTATAGACATTGAACATCGCTGTGTAGGTTAAGCCCCCCTACTTTCCACAGACACGTTGTAGTTTAGGTTAAAATAATGTGGAAAATGGTGTTGTTTGGGAAAAAAAATTGCTAGTGAAGTTCGAACCTACCCCCCCCCCCCCTCTTTTTTTTGGTTGTCCGGTTTTTTTTTAAGGTATATAAAAAAATTCTTACACTTAGCCCCCCCCCCCCCACACACTTTCAATTTGCTTCCGACGCCAATGTTTGGAGACCAAGGAGGAAAGCAGAGACGCTCTCAGGCTTTATAGTTTTATAGAAAAAAAAGTTTTCAACTTAATTCAGCTAAACTTAAATTTTATGTAAATTTTGGTCACTTAATTTGGTTGGGGGGGATTTCTGCCCCCCCCCCCCCCGACCCAACCCACCAGTGCACGCAGGGTTTAAACTTAACGCTCGCCCACGCGCCAAATGCGAGTAAAAATTCGTGTTCGCCCGTAAATTTCAAAACTTGTTCGCCCACGCGAATGAAAATTTCGGTAACCAACTTTTAATATCGAGATAATATTATCGGGTTCGTTATGTCAGAAATCAATGTGACCTAAACGCTCCATCAGATCCTTACTATTCGCTTACCGTAAAGCGTTGCAATGACCTACAGTAAATCAAGATGGCGAAGCAAACGCAGTTGTCTGCGTTTTTTAATATCGGAGAGATTCAGTCTCAGAAGCGAAGTAGTTCAGCTGAATCACGAGATGAATATTATAAACAGTACGATAAAAAGAGGAAGAGACAGTTCAGAGTCATGGGTTATTGGGAGACCTTGGCTGACAGATACAGAAACAGGAATGATTTGCTCACACTGCGTTTCTTATCAAGGAAATGAAGGAACCTCGGCTTTTACTAAAGGTTGTACTCTTTACAAATTAGACTCTATCGTGAAACATGAACAGTCTAAGGTGCACAAAAACTGTGCTGAAATTCACAAACAGAAGACCAAGGAAATACCGGAGGCAGTCAAGATAATACAATCACTGAATAAAGATATTCATGATAGGTTGCGCATTATGTTTCGAAATTGTCACTCGATAATTATGAACAACAGGCCGTTAACAGACTATCTTTGGTTATGTGAATTAGACGAGATTAAAGGAATTGAGGTGGGACAAACTTACAGAAACATTATGTCGGCAAAATCCTTCATTAAAGCCATTTCTGATGATGAATTCAAGAAAGTGAAAATGGACATTCTGAATACTAATTATTTGTGTATCATAGGTGATGGTTCCACAGATTCATCAGTGAAAGAACAGGAAATGTGGTTTGCAAGAACATGTAGACATGGTAAAATACAGATGTATTTTTTAGGTGTACAAGAGACAGAAAAAGCAGATGCAAGTGGGATTCTTAATGGATTGAAGAGTTTGATTGAAACAAATTTAACCCTATCATCTGACTGCTTTTTAAGTAAAGTTGTTTCTTTGTCATGTGATGGAGCTAGTGTTATGGTTGGCTGTAGGAATGTTGTAGGGGCACTTTTAAAGAAAATTCAACCTTCCATTGTTGTAGTGCATTGCATGGCACACAGACTCGAACTTAGTTTGAAAGATGCAGCTAAAAAGCATGCCTTGTATGATAAAGTAGTTAGAGTATTACTGCAAGGAATTTATTTGTTCTATCATAACAGCAGTTTGAACCGCTCCATGCTTAAACGTTCCTTTGAAGCATTGAAGCAGGAGAAAGATAAACTCATGATTCCAACTCGATCGGGGGGAACTAGGTGGATTGGACATCAATTAGCTGCCATTGAACACTTGCTTTGTTCATACAAGTTTATTGTTTCCCACCTGGAACAGGTACTTATAATAAATCATGTTTAAAACAGAATTGATTTTAAGTAGTTACTGTGAGGGGCTAATGCTATAAGTGACCAAAATAACTCATTATTTTGAATTTTCATTTATGCTTTTGCATTTCAAAATCTCATTTTATTTATCAACAATTTACATCATACTGGGATTTTTGTTTTTACCAGGGTTTGCAACTGTCAAACATATTACTTAAAAAAAGAAAATTATTATATGAAGCTTTTATTAACAAAAATGTTTAATTTTTTAAAATGATTACAGATTGGTACAACATCTGAGAGGGTTTCAAGTGACAGCAAGAGTAAACAAAAGCTTATCTATCTCTCTTGAAATCCCGAAATGTCATTGAATTCCTTCTGTTTTTGATGGACATTTTCACTCCTTTGAAAAGAATGTCTCTGGTTCTTCAAGACCGCAACACCACTCTGTCAAGTCTGTACTGTGTCCTAGCTTCTACTATCGAGGTCATCGAGAAGTATAAAACAAGGTGAGGAAATCTATTTACTTAAATATCAAATATTATTTAGTTATATTTATAATCATTTAGGAATAACTCAGAAGTAATTAAATTACACAACTTATGGATTATCAGTGTTGGGCCTTACCAAAGCAAGATACAAGGAACATCAGAGTTTGAAGGAGTATCTTTGTCAGGACCTGTGAAATTTTCAAAGGAGGTGTTCATCAAGTCAGTGGTTTGAAGTCTTGAAACTCGTTTTAGAGATTTCAGAGATGCAGAAAATATTGTTAGAGCTACCAGGATAGCAGATCTTAGATCTTGGCCAGTTACTTGGGATGACTTGAAAGGTTTACTTACACATGGTTTTTTTTTCAGGTTCTTATTTTGTTTTCCACTGTGCAGCTTGAATGAATTTTTTACTTACTTTTCAGTTAAAGTTTTACCCTGTTGTTTTTTTTGTTGATGTTCTGCATTGATAAATATATCAGTGTTCATGTTGGAAAATTTCACTTACTTTTCAGTTTTATTTATAGTTGTTTTTTTATATGTTCTGTCTTGATAAATATACCAGTGTACTTCATGTTGGACAAATGTAAAAATAAAATAAATAAAAATTTTCAAAATAATTAAAAAATATGTTTCAATCTTCATGATATACTAAATAATTTTATGCAAAGAAATAGTCTTATTTGTGTGAACAACAATCATCTTTTTCTAAATACAATTCTAAAGTATTTAATTATGAGTTATAAATAGTTGGTAATATATTATTGTAGTTTGGGGAGATAAGGAAGTTGATGATCTGACCTCTCACTTCTCTGATGTCTTGGAGGAATCTGGGGTGAAGATTGAAGATGTAGTAACAGAGTGGACTCTTTTAAAGAAAGAAGTTCAGAACAGGTACATTTAATGTAGGATTTGTGCTGAGTTATTCAACTTATATATTTTAGTTTGGTTAACAGAAAATTTCTGGAACATTCTACATGTGTGTATTATTATTATTATTTTTTAAAATTGTTTCAGGCACATGAGCAATTATGGAGAAAAGGCCTCTTGGGAAGTGATCAACAATGAACTGAGAGAAAATCTCCCAAATATTCTGGAACTTATAGATTTAATTGTGTCACTCTCACCTTCCAGTGCTGAGGCTGAGAGAGGATTTTCTCAGCTTAAGTTGATCAAGACAAATCTAAGGAGTAAGATGGGAAATGAACTACTTAACCAGAGCATGATTATAAAACTACATTCCCCATCAATAACAAATTTCAATCCTGATGATGCCATCACTGTATGGAATACAACATCCCTTAGGGTCAGAAGGCCCTTATGTACTCCTTTAGGCAAAAGAAAAACAGACTCTGAAAGCATTGATCAGGAAACAAATGAAGTTGAAGTTGAAAGTGATGCAGATCTTGTCAGTGTGACTGTTGTAGAGCCTCTTCAGACTGATGAACTTGTTGGAGAAGACTCTGACACTGAAATTGAATCTATTCAAAACATACTGGACAGTGTTGAGATTGAACAAGAACTAGAAATAGAATATTCATAATGAGCAAGAACTAGTAATAGAATATTCAAAATATGTTGTTTGTGATTTATTTTTACACAAATTAAATTTTGCACAATTAATTGGTGTGTGGGCTAATAAATTTGGCTGTGGGCCCCCAAATTTGAAAATTTAGGGGCCCACATGGCTAGTGAAAATTTGAGTTAAGTTTAAACCCTGGCACGTGTGTTATACGATGTGTTTACACTTTTAAAAAAAGGAAAGTTAAAGACTGATAAAAATCTTATGACAATTTTTTTAGTAAGATCATATAAGACTTTTATCAAAACAAAAACAAAAGAAACAAAAGAAACAAAAAAAAAACGAAAAAAATTAAAAAGAAAAAGAAAAAAAATTGCTGCACGACTCATAATATTTGATTTATTTAATTATCAGATTAAAGTAAATGCCATTGAATTTCGACGTGACTTTAATGCACAGTAGCAGTGTTAAGGCTTTGCACGTTTCAAGGTTGCCAATCATTTGTCGCTTATAGTTTTATTAAAGATGCCATTCCAAAATCGCTGAGAATTTCTTCTACGACAGTTTTCTCTCCCGCCAATTTCAGTGTGACATGATCTTTTCACATAATATCATAAAGAATTGACATAATGTAATGAAAGGTTGACACGATGCAAGGGTAGTGTGGGCTAATGTCATGAAGATCTGACATAATGTAATGGAAGGTTGACACGATGCAAGGGTAGTGTGGGTTAATGTCATAAAGAGTTGATATAATGTAAAGGAAGGTTGACACAATGCAATAGTATTGTGGGTTAATGTCATAAAGAGTTGACATAATATAATGGAAGGTTGACATAATGCAATAGTATTGTGGGTTAATGTCATAAAGAGTTGACATAATATAATGGAAGGTTGACATAATGAAATAGTAGTGTGGGTTAATGTCATAAAGAGTTGACATAATGTAATGGAAGGTTGACACAATGCAATAGTAGTGTGAGTAAATGTCATAAAGTGTTGAAATAATGTAGTGGAAGGTTGACGCAATGCAATGTTGTGTTCTGCTATAAGGCAGTGACGGCGTTCCATATAACAAGCTAGGTTTAATTTGATATGATATTCCCGCGATCTTTGGCTGTGTTGGCTATATATGTGTACCCTTTCTAAGCATATCTTTTGAATGAACTAATATAAAATCTTCTTTTTAAACACCATCAGCATCTTACCCCAAATTTTTTTTCAAATTCTAAAAGAAAATTCTTTTTACTCTAATTCGGAAATGCTGCAGATCCATTCAATTTTATAAGGCTTCATTAGTTTTTGAAATGACTTTTTATTCTGACTTGGAGTACCCTTTCAAAGAAAAAAAGGGATATAAACAAAGATATTATTTATCACAACATAAGATCTTTCAATAAGTGTGTGAATCTTTGCTTGAGAGTGTGTAGGGGGGGGGGGGGGGGGGGGTAGAGGGACACAACCCTGGAACCCCCCCCTTTCAAAAAGTGCTGGACCCGCCCCTGCAAGATGCTAACAACTGATATCTATTCCTAATGCTGAGTGTCCACATTGATGATGTATTGATGGGAGAATTTCCTAAAAAAAATTATCCATGAGTTGTCAGCCATTAATGTTACATACGGTATTTCAAATAGTTAGTTTTACTGTCTTATGTAAATCCCTCTTAATGCGATAAAGAATAGGAATGGGTCTGAAATCCCTACAAAGCTGTCCTAGTACACGGACCACCCTTGTATAAGCAGATCAATCTCCAATAACAGGGTTTTATCAAACTACATAAAAAGATTTTTCAGTTGTATAATTAATCCCCATAATCGTTATTTTGCTATGAAAAGGTTTTCGCTCTACCATATTTCTTATGTGAAACCTTTTAATGAAGGAAGCAAAAGCATTTAATTTCCCCTTTTTAACGTGACGTGTTTAATCGACGAATGTACAATCGAACTAATAAGTACTGCTTTGACTTCCCGCTTCAAATAATTTTTTAAACGAAGTAGAGTTTTAGCAATCCGATTAACGTTTATATTTCCCAACTCTGATTTACTCCACACACATTAGCCCTTGTTTTTAAAAAGTACATTAGTCGAAATCAGAAATGACATCTCGTGCACCCACAGGATGGTCAACATCCAGGCGCGCAATGCACTACAAGGCCGTTTTACCTGAAAAAGACGATGGACTTTTTCTGAATCTTCATAAAAAAGTGAGGAAAAGTTTATTACCAAAGGGAAGTCGCGATGAGAAAGATAATGTGAAGATAGCAAAAAGAATTTTAGCCAGACAAAGAAGACTGCATGAAAAGCAGCGACAATCTCGATGGAATAATACCGATTCCTCCGATCTGGATTTAATGTCATATAAACCGAATTATGATTCGTCCGTGTCGACTACTGCCGCCAATACCTCACATCTGTTACATAAACGACAAATTTATTTGCCACCCGTCGGCAGGACAACATGCATGACTTCGGATTTAAGCTACACCTCTGACGACATTGATCGGAATCCCCCCCCCTTTATTTTTTGCCAAGTGGAGAGAAAGAGGGAGATAAAACGTTGCTAGTATTTGAGAAGAAATATTTGCACATCCAACTTATGTATTGAATAGATAGATTCCCACACATTCACTTTTCTCCATTGACCTTCATTATTACCTTTTATCAGCGAATGGTACAAAATATTCTACTTATTTTTATACATGTATATCTTATATATGATATGTAACAATATGGAACGCCATCACTGCCTTATAGCGTACAACTATGCAATTATTATGTCAATCTATCATAACGTGATGTGAACATATCTTTACGTTATGTCAATTTTTTATGAGATGATGTAAAAATATCTTAACATCATGCCAGTGCTGCATTACATGAAGTAAATACATCCTTTCATTATGTCAGCACTTCATAACTTGAAGTAAAAAATTAATTATGTGAAGTGATAATGTGTTTACATTGAGATAAAACTTTATTACGTGAAATGAATGTTTCTTTACATCATTTCGTTTCTTTAATATGTGAGGTCAAACTTGCATTACGTCAAGTAAATTGTGTTTTATAATTAAACTTATCATTACATGAAGTCAAAAATCCATTCCTTTTTGAGAGTGTATATTTCTATTATATCAAAGCATTACATGTATTACGTGATATGGATTTATCTTTATTTTACGGCGAGAGTATCATGATGTGAGGTGAACACATCTTACCTTCATGTCAGTGCTTTATTACGTGGTGTAAAAAGTGTATAACATAATGTGTACATATCTTTATATTATATCAACACTTTATTACATTATGTCAAAACTCCATACCGTGATGTGGATATATTTAATGTCAACTCTTTATGTGATCTAAAAATAGCTTTATATTGTGTTAACTCTTTATCATGTTGATTCCAAAAGTGCATTACCTGATGTAAAAATACGTTTACATTATCTCAAAGCTGTATATCTAGTATGTACAATGAATGTTGACGACCGTGTTTTAAAGACTGTTAAGAAGGGGGGGGGGGGGTCCTGATTGATTAGGAAGTATAACAGCCCCCCCCCCCTTTTCCCAGACATAACTTTACTATAGGAAAATAATGTTCATTGAAAGTACACCCCTACCCCCACTTTTTGTTGAAGTATAGTCCAATGAAGGCAATGTAGTATATCTGAAAAAAAAATTAGGACTGATCGAAGTTTGAACCCCCCCAACCCCCCCCCCTTCTCCGAAATAGGATTTTCGGGCTTGGACAATTTTTTTGGGCTTGTCAAGTTTTTTTCGGGCAAATTAATATTTTTTTTCTGGCTGATCTCCCCTTTCAAAAAAGATGCTACGTCACTGGAATTAGAAATTTTTTCAATCATTCTAGGGCCAGAATTCTATGACAAAAATCTACCAGTCCCCCATCTTAATCAATTGAATATGCCTTAGTAAGCATGCATGCGCACATATCTGTGGCGGCTATGGGAATCTTGAACAAGGAAGGGGGACGGCATATGGTTGACATAGGCGGCGGAACCGGGGGGCTGAGGGGGGGGGCTTAGTTTTTTTTTTCCTCAGATAGACTTAGTATAGACATTGAACATCGCTGTGTAGGTTAAGCCCCCCTACTTTCCACAGACACGTTGTAGTTTAGGTTAAAATAATGTGGAAAATGGTGTTGTTTGGGAAAAAAAATTGCTAGTGAAGTTCGAACCTACCCCCCCCCCCTCTTCTTTTTGCTTGTTAGGTTTTCTATGAAGGCATAAAAAAAATTCTTACACTTAGCCCCCCCCCCCACACACTTTCAATTTGCTTCCGACGCCAATGTTTGGAGACCAAGGAGGAAAGCAGAGACGCTCTCAGGCTTTATAGTTTTATAGAAAAAAAAGTTTTCAACTTAATTCAGCTAAACTTAAATTTTATGTAAATTTTGGTCACTTAAGATGGTAGGGCGGGATTTCTGCCCCCCCCCCCCCGACCCAACCCACCAGTGCACGCAGGGTTTAAACTTAACGCTCGCCCACGCGCCAAATGCGAGTAAAAATTCGTGTTCGCCCGTA